TAGAGGAGTTCTATGCTTACATCCTAGGTGTTTCTTCTTTGAACTCCACCTAGAGAAAGGCACCAGGCTTCACTCAGAAGTTCCTGATCTTTGGCACATATCCAAATTGTTTTCTAAAGCCTTTCCTGTGTAGCTGGCAGACGTTCTTATTTATAAGAATAGAGATTCACCTAATACTTTAAAAATAGCACTGATTTCTGTCTGACTTATCCAAAAATCTCTCAACTTCTAGATATTTCCTCTTCCTAAAACCAGCTACTTCATCATCTCTACATGTTTTAAAAACACTGCCCACCAAACAGGCCAATAAGATACCCCTATAGTAACTATCTCACTTAACTTTATATCCAATTTCCTGGTCTGTTGACACATATCAACAAAATGGTTTCTTCAAAGTTTACTACCCCCATCAGCTTTTATATTGCTCCCTCCTCTTCTAGGAAGATGTAAACTAAAGTTCTAACTATAACTTCCTTCCCAGTTCAAGCAGGAACAGAAAACTTGATTAGCTCTGTCACAGTGCAGCCAGGGGTTTAAGGGCTGTATGTCCCGCTCAGCGGGCTAATGGAAGCAATAGGCAAAAACTGGGAAAGACTGAAGATTTCAAATATGAAGAATGGGACACTTTGAGTGTGACACCAATTTTTTGGAGACCCAGATGATTAGCAGGTAAATGAAAATTATATAACATCGCAGGGTCAAAGTCTTCTCCCCAAACCCCAACTCCCTGGCTGCTGTCACACCTAGATTCTGACTATACTTACCTATTCTGAGCAGCATAGATACTGGCCAGCTTTAGAGATATTTCAATTATTGCATTATCTTCCTGTTGGGAAAAAGAAAAATGAAGGAAATTCATGACAAGTAAAATTTCCTCAGAGAATATTTCAGATCAACTTCTAGATTGCCTTTGGCCTAAAAGCCATAGTCTTATCCTTTTAGAGAATAAGGCAACTGTGAGTTCCTCAGCTACCACGCTTTTGCATGAGTGAAAGATTGGCAGTTTTTGTACAAGTCTTAAAGCAAAAAAATCTACCTTTTTTGGCCAAAACACATGTTGGGGGCTGGGTGAAGTTTTCGCGAAGCAAGACTTCTTTGAAAACTGCTTCAGCTAGGGCCCGATCCTAGGCAACATCCTTACCTGTTGCATGCCCCCTCCAAGCAGGTAACTCATTGTCGCTTTAAAAAGTTTTTCTGCCTAAAAGCATAAGGAAAAGATTTTTCTTTTACTTTGGCCCCACTATCTACATGACCCTGGATTTTAAGTAAGTCTGATTCATCATTCCTTGTAAAACACAACATACACACACTCACATTCACATACAGAGAAAAACAGCCTTGTGATGGAAAACAGACTAAAATACCAGTACCCCACATCCTCTGGGCACCTCAAAAACTATTCTGTAGCGAGTAGAAACCAACTTTAGAAATTAACTTCATATCCAAACCCACTGTGGCAGAGACTGAAAACTATCCCCTAATATTCACTCTCCTTTCCATCATTTTAAGTACAGAATCTCCTCAATTTTTAATAGGTCAGCCTCCTTTGCAGTTAGGTATGGTCATATGATGAAGTTTTGGCCAAGAGATGCAGAAATGTGAACAATTTTTAAATCATATTTTATAAGAAAGCTGCTTGCCTTCCCTTTTCTGTTTTTCCTACCTGTAGGCTGGGGTTGAGCCAGCTCACCTATGCAGATGAGGACATATCTTAGAAGGAACCTGGACTTCTAGATCACTTCATGGAGCAAAGGTTACTAGCTCCCTTCAATGTTTAGCTACCCGCATACTAATGAATTAGAGAGAAATACACCTCCTTGCTTGAGTCACTCTATTTTGGGGTCTGTTACAGCGGCTCAGCCTGTACTCTTACAGGCTAATAGAGTAGAGTTCCCTTGAGGCTAGTGCTTCACGTATTCAATATATTACAAAGTGATTTACTTACTTACATTTTCAAGCTGACCCCGTACAAATGCCAAGTTGGCCATCTGAAAGCAAATTACAAATTGTTTTTCAGTTTAGAGCATTCTATTACTACTTATTTTAAAACCTTTAAGCTAAAGACTCCTTTTTTGCTTTCACCTTCTAAATAAAAAAAATAGTTGAAAGAAAAGCATGTCACTAATCTTCTAGAACCAAAGTATAAGAATGGTATGAGAGTAAATATTTGCATATATATTTTGTTGATGCAAACCAAATAGATCTACTTATCTTCAAAGAAACGAATGTTAATAATAATTGTTTCTTTTTAGTCTGGGACTGAGACTTCTTATAAGTAACACCACAAGGGTAATGGAAATTTAAACAAAAAGAAAGCTTAGTAAAAACAAAAACAAAAACAAAGAGCTTTAGGACATCCTGAAGGTCTGGAATATAAATAAGGAGAATTAACAACCCTTCTCTTGCATCCATCCTTCGTCAGTGGCTCAGATTGGTTAGAAGAGTTACCAAATCATAAGTGTAAGTGATGGCCTTCTTGTTATCACTCTGATAGGCAAGACGA